AAAACTTGGACTCGGGTGACACTTTTATACAAAAATAAAATGTGATTGTTCTGTGCCCGCTCCTGGGAAGATTGTAAATATCCGCACTGTGTGGTCAGCGGGACAGAGAAGTGAAATCCAGAATGTGACGGTCATAACCGCACGAGCACGCGCTGAGGGGAATCTCTGCACCAGGACACGGCAATGAAAATCCACAGCACAGTGTGTAACGGTTCCCCACCTCCATCGGAGACTATAGGAGCCGTTTTTGGCTGGAGTTCCACTTTTAAATAAGTCCAGCGTCTGGCAGTCACTTCCTGTCTACGTGCACTCCCAACGATGGCTGCGTCGCGTTTCTAAGGGCGTGGTTTCCTGATGGTGACAACAGTGGACCATGTCTGTCAAAAAGGAGGCCCATGTGACAGGGTGACAACCCAGCAAAACAAATGACAAACACACTCAACATGATGAGTGCGTTTGTCATTTGTTTTGCTTGACTGATTTGGTGCAGTGACGCATGGGGGGTCTCAGCTGCCGTTGTGATGTGCGTGGTCCCTTGTGCGTCCCTGTGCCTTTAAGGGAGGTTTGGGCTTCCTCCTGACAAACCTGCACCCAATTTAATCTTCTGCCCCCATGTGCTCCAAGATGGAGACTCTCATAGTTTAGAGTTAGGACCGCACTATAAGAGGTACCTTGACGCGGCTGTGCGGCTTTCACATTTTCTGCAGAAGACGTGTCTCCAAACCTCTGTGTTTAACCTTCGTGGTTAGACAGTTTTTTTTTTGCATGCCGGCTGGCGAGTGTGCCTGGAAACTTTTTTCTGTTTTAGGGTGACAACCCAGGAGCACAATTGAGATGCATAGATGGATGTTGTCGCCCTATAACAGGAAGTGCCTGAAGAAGGACTTCCACACCAGGGTCACCAGGGACTATTTTTAACGCAGGCTGTCGATTTTGTAAAGCTTGAAAATGACTTTTGGAATAACAGGAACGTGTTGGAGCTTCTGCGAGGGTTTCAGTGGTTGGGTGTATCTGCGCCGCGTCTCGTTCTGCCCCGGAGCAAACAATGGAGTGATATAAGATATGTACATATCGTCAGAGGGATCAGAGGGGGACACTCAGACGGTATTTACGAGCCGCAGGTGTCCCCATGTAACCTCTTACACTTCACCTTATGTATGAGGAAGTCTCGGAGCAGGAGTGAAGTCAGGACACGGCGATGAAGAAGAAGAAGGGAGGCGGTGCAGCTGCTGAAGACGTACAACGCAGGTGAATGCTGTGCAACTAGCGACTGACTTCTTAAAGTGAACCCGAGCATTGTGCATGTTAAAGCTGAAGATGGATCTGCTCATGTCTGTCCTTCCCCGGCGGGATCTCTCTGGCTTGCTGCGGCTTCTGATGCACATTGTGAGATGCTCGCGGTGTGCGGTGACATCAGAGGAAGACATCTCAGTCCAGGAGAAGGGAAGACATTGAAAACCGTTGTCTCTTCTTACATCGGCATTGGTCCACCTGATATCGTTGGCACTTCCTTCCAGTAGAGAAGGGCCCTCCCGACATTGATGGTCATTGGAATGGGACCCCCTTAGATTGATGGCTGGTGATCGGTGTACTGCGCCCTTCCACCGATCACTAGTTCCATGCCATGGACTCTGCCGGGTGACATTGGTGTAGGAACTGTGCAGACACTATCAGGTTGGAGATTGATCCACCGCTGATCCCTGCTGAAGGAACCTCCAGCAACCTCTGGAGGAGGAACCACAAGCAACCTCTGAAGGAACCCCCTTCAACTTTTGGAGGAGGAACCCCCAGCAACCTCTGAAGGAACCCCCTTCAACCTTTGGAGGAACCTCAATTACGTCTGAAGGAGCCCCCAGCAACCTCTGAAGGAGCCCCCAGCAACCTCTGAAGGAGCCCCAGTAACCTTACGGAATCTTGGTTATGTATGGGCGCTCTAGAATGGCACTCCGACGCATCTTGGCAACTTGCGGTGGACTGCCAGAAATGGAGCATGCGTCAGGATATAATTCCACATTGTGAGCACCAAACGCCTTTACAAACCCAGATATCACCTTGTAAATGTAGCAGTGAAATGTGCTGTACATAGCCTGAGCAGAGAGCAGAGTTCTTGGAGGGGCCCGACAGGCCCCACTCACTACTGAAAACTACAGGAGGGGGCGGAAAAAAGAACAGTCACCCTGCACAAGGAGAGAGAGAGAGCAGAGTTGTGGGAGGGACCCTACAGGCTCCGCCCACTAAAGGCTGCCTAAAACTAGAGGAGGGGGTGTAGACCATAATCGATTGTCCTGCACGAGCAGGGAGAGCAGCAGTGGCCGGTCTTTAATACAGGAGGGGGCGGAGACCCTCTGCACAAAGAGAGAGTAGCAGTGAGCGGTCTTTTATTACAGGAGGGGGCGGAGACAAGACCAGTCGCCCTGCACAAGGAGAGAGAGCGGCAGTGACTGGTCTTTATTACTGGAGGGGGCGGAGACAAGACCAGTCACCCTGCACAAGGAGAGAGAACCTCAGTGACCGGTCTTTATTACAGGAGGGGGCGGAGACGAGACCAGTCACCCTGCACAAGGAGAGAGAACCTCAGTGACCGGTCTTTATTACAGGATCTCTAAGTGTCCCGGATCTGGATTTGTAAGAATCGGGTATAAAGAGAACCTGTCATGGCAGCAGTGCTGGAGATCTCTGGTCCCCTCTCACCACCTTTAGCCGACTGCCGGGAACAGCTGGTGGTGATTTGGTAACAGTCCTTATCTCCTTCCAGTGACCGAACATCTGAGAACTGCAGACCGTCTGCTTCCCAGAGTCCCTGACCCCTCACCTCCTGTCTGGAGACTTCACACCATAAATCCTGCAGCCATGTTCATTGTGAGGACTGGAAGAAATACGACGCGGGCACAAGTCACGGGCAGCCTGCGGTTTTTGTGACAAACAATGGCGGGGACTGTCCGTGCCTTCCAGTGTTTATACTGCGTCCTCCCTCTGACCGGGAATGGCGGAAAGCACATCTTAGACCTCCAAATGCGTCACACTGGCGAGGGGAGTCCATGTGGCCCTATCTCACTTTGTGACCCTCCAACTAAACTCCGGGCACAAAACTTTCATTTTCCTTAAACACAAAGGATAGAAATCCACTTCGTGTGCAACAAATGTCTTTGCAAACCCAGATATGACCTTGTAGAAGCAGAGGTAGCGTCATCACTGTGCTGTACATGGCCTGTGCAGAGAGCAGAGCTGTGGGAGGGGCCCAGCAGGCAGGGGAGGCGGAGACGAGACCAGGTACCCAGCACAGGGAAAGAGAGCAGCAGTGACCGGTCTTTATTACAGGAGGGGGCGGAGACAAGACCAGCTGCTTTCTCTCCTTGTGCAGGGTGACTGGTCTTGTCTCCGCCTTTCCTGTAATAAAGACCGGTCACGGCTGCTCTCCTTGTGTCGGGTGACTGGTCTTGTCTCCGCCTTTCCTGTAATAAAGACCGGTCACGGCTGCTCTCCTTGTGTCGGGGGACTGGTCTTGTCTCCGCCCCTTCCTGTAATAAAGACCGCTCACTGCTGATCTCTCTCCTTGTGTCGGGTGCCTGGTCTTGTCTCCGCCCCCTCCTGCAATAAAGACCGGTCACTACTGTTCTCTCTCCTTGTGTCGGGTGCCTGGTCTTGTCTCCGCCCCCTCCTGTAATAAAGACCGGTCACGGCTGCTCTCCTTGTGTCGGGTGACTGGTCTTGTCTCCGCCCCTTCCTGTAATAAAGACCGCTCACTGCTGCTCTCCTTGTGCAGGGTGCCTGGTCTTGTCTCCGCCCCCTCCTGTAATAGAGACCGCTCACGGCTGCTCTCTCTCCTTGTGCAGGGGGACTGGTCTTGTTTCCTGTAGTGGGTAGAGCCAGCTAGGCTCCTCCCACAGCTCTGCTCTCCGCACAGGCTACATACAGCACAGTGATGATGTCACTGCTACTTTTACAAGGTGATATCTGGGCTTGAAAAGGCATTTGTTGCACACGAAGCGGATTTATATACTTTGTAGCTATTGAGGAATACATTTAAAGTGACATTAAACCCTCAGATTTAACAAAAACCAATACTGTAATGTGCGCCTTACTGTAATCCATGGTAGTTTCCCTTCTCTTTGCTGCTCTTCCTTTTAAATCCTCATGTCTTCTCATTCTGGGGGAGAACGTCCCTTTGCAGCTCAGGGCCTCTTCCTGTAGTGCTGGCTCAGGTTGTGAACCTGCACACAGACACCGTGTATCCATTCCAGAGACAAGGCAGTCTGCTGCAAAACAGAAGTTCTGCCCAGCATGAGAACAGATAAGGATTAAAAAGGAAGAGCAGCAAAGAGAAGGGAAACTACCATGGATTACAGTAAGGCGCACATTACAGTATTGGTTTATGTTAAAACATCTGAGGGTTTAATGTCACTTTAAATGACATTTTTTGTCCCCGGAGTTCAGCTTTAACACCGTGCATAGCCCCGCCCCCTGCTCCAGTTTTTATTAATTTGATTAGCACTTTTTTTTGTCCCGGCCGCATATCATGAAATTGTCCAAAATGTGAATAAAGTTCACCGTGATCTGGAACGAGCTCGCACCGCTGCTTTAACTTTGGATACATCGGAGTAGAGTTAGAGCCTCAGTCAGGTTTTTATCGGCCTATTGGGGAGATTTACACTCACTTCCTTCTTGCCCTTTAGGACTGGGCCAGAGACAGTCAGGCTGGGGAGGAAAGGGCTAGTACTGATGAGCACACTCAGAAGCTGGGAGACAGTTTGTATCACCATCTTGAGCTGTATCACCATCTTGAGCTGTATCACCATCTTGAGCTGTATCACCATCTTGAGCTGTATCACCATCTTGAGCTGAGTCATTCAGAAGAGTGGCAGATGCTGACCAAAGTCAGTATTTGCATGCAGCTCGGGGTCCGGGAGCTCCTGGGGCCACCCCGGCCCTTCATTAACTGGCATCAGAGGTGTGTACGGGCAATGAGTGGGTTAACGAATGTCCCGTTTGTCCTTCTGCAGGGGTGAGCTGGCCGGATATGCACCGCCTGGCCGACCGCGTCCACCTGGAGGAGCTGACCAAGATCGGCATCTTGAGGGGCAACGTGGACGACATGATCAAGGCGCACATGGGCGCGGTGTTTATGCCGCACGGCCTGGGCCACTTCCTGGGCATTGACGTCCATGATGTTGGAGGATACCCTGAGGTCAGTACACTCCGCTTACAGGTACCTATATCACCCATTCACCCCGACCAATCACTGCCCCCAGTCACAGAGCCCCCTCTCTCTACCCATATCACCTCACTCCATCACAGTGCCCCTTCTACCCGTCAGCCCAAGCCATGTTCCATAGTTGGGGACTCGGGCGGTTTAGGGACCGCACATATTAGAGGTGCCGTGGTGCGGCAGTGTGGCTCCCCCTTATATATGCAATTATATGTTACATGTATGAACACTGTGTCGCCATGTATGTCTGCAACGCAACCTTGAACTTGATTAGTTAAGACGGTTCAGTTGGAAGTGTGCGGGGGGGATGGGGGTGGCCCCAGAAAATACCCGTCCTGGGGAAAATGCTGCTCCGAGCTACTCCCTGTATCGGTCATGTGACCTTTAACTTAGGCCTCGGGTCATGTGACCTCTGCTCAGAGGGGAGATCAGCCAGAGGAGCGAGTTGACTCCGGAGGCCGGATTCAGTGAAAAACACCGAGATGTGAACGTTGGGAGCGGTCGGTTCGGCTGCCAGGCCTCCTGACGTTTTCCCCGTGTCAGCGGGAGCCTCGCCGCGCTGGATGATTGCACTCCGCCGCTGCGTCCACAAAACGGGTTCTGTTCTCTGCGCGCGCTGTGATTGCTTCCTCCCATGGCCAGAATGTTCTCTACTGCTTGTTAGGAGTTGGAGCCGAACTGTGCCGCGTGTTCCAGGCCTGGAAGCGTCCTCCGCGTGACGGGGGAGCCGAATTCCAGTACAAACGGGGAGGGGGGACGGGGCTGAATATGCTGCATAAAATAGAACCCGGGAGACGCCGATCGATGTGCGTCTTCTGCCCGACCCCCGGGGGGGATAGGGATACAGTCACTGCGGAGCGCTGTAGAAAACCGGTGGCTACGGATAGAGCTCAACTTTACATGTAAGGCAATGCATGGGGCGTTGTCACTTAGACTGTTATGCACAATCAGGATCTGGGAGGCAGTTTGCATTGATGGGCAGGTGACAGGGCGACACCTTTTTAGACGTTTTGCCAATTAATCCCTCTGCTGTTCATTTTCAGGGCGTGGACCGCGTTGACCTGCCCGGCCTGAGAAGCCTGCGCACGGCCCGCTGCCTCCAGGAGCGGATGGTCCTCACCATCGAGCCCGGCATCTACTTCATCGACCACGTCCTGGACCAGGCCTTGGCCAACCCCGCTCAGGCGTGCTTCATCAACAACGACGTCCTGAGACGCTTCCGAGGGTTTGGCGGTGTAAGTAGATTAGAGCTGTTAGACACCTCCCTCTCGCTGTTAAACCCCTCCTCCTCACTGTTAGACCCCTCCCACTACCTCTCCTCTGTAAAATCAATATTTCTCTCCCACTAACACACTAAAAATTATTTAAAGTGATTTTGAGGATTTCAGAACGTTCCCTCCACCGAAGAGTCTTCAGCATCCCCGAGGGCCACTAGATGGCGCTGAAGAGCATAGGACTTTCCTGTTACTCAGCGCCATCTACTGGTAGTGCAGTGCAAATGGTACAAAGGATCCCGGCTGCGGGATGGTGGCAGCTCCTCATAATAAGCACAGCGGGTGTACAGACCTGGGAACTCAGCACAGGGATGGTGGGAGCTCCTCATAATGGGCACAGCAGGTGTACAGACCCGGGAACTCAGCACAGGGATGGTGGGGCCCCTCATAATGGGCACAGCGGGTGTACAGACCCGGGAAATCAGCACAGGGATGGTGGGGCCCCTCATAATGGGCACAGCAGGTGTACAGACCTGGGAACATAGAAGAGACCCTTTGGGAGGGTAACTCTCCAGAATCACCTTTTGGTTTACAGACCGGAGCTAGTCCTGAAAGATGACCGTTCCCCTTTAAGCCCAATCTTATGAGCGGTGAGTCACAGGCTCGGGGTGGGGGGGGTGCTGTGCGGGGTGATTTATCTCGGTGATATTGGTGCTCTCTGGCAGCGAGTCGCTGTGATAAGATAAAAAAACGTTTCCATCGGCACAATCTGTGTGATTTGGCACGGCCGGCGCGTTCCTCGTATGCAGAGCCGCGAGGAAGCTGACGCAGCAATGAAGACGTGACTGCTTCCTCTCATAAGAGGTCCTGATCCGTCCCCGGTGAGAGAAAAACATCCTCCTCCAGATTCACTCGCAGGGAAATAACAGATTCACCATAGGAGGATTCGCACCGTAAGAGATGCGTCCTAAAATACTTCACATATCTCTTACGTCCTGCACCTCACTGCGGCTCTCTCTCTCCCCTTGTGACTGGTCTTGTCTCTGCCCCCTCCTGTAGTTTTTAGTAGTGGGTGGGTCCTTCTGGGCCCCTCCCACAGCGCTCTGTGCACAGGCTACTTACAGCCCAGTGACAATGTCCGTGTCACTTTTACAAGGTGATATCTGGGCTTACAGAGGCATTTCATACACAGAGAGGGTTTATACCCTTTGCGGCCTATAGGGCAGGGGTGGGCAACCTCAGCACGCCTACTGTGGTTGAACTACAAGTCCCATGAGGCATTGCAAGACTCTGACAGTCGCAGGCATGGCTCCCAGAGGCAGCAGCATGATGGGATTTGTAG